TTGGCAAAGCACCGCTGGCATTAGCACTAAGCTGCATCTAATTCGTTTATGCAACTGCAACCATGCAGTCACGCGCGTTGGCTCTGTGTGCGTACATGTGTGTGTGTGTGTGTGGGTGGGTGGAACCAGCAGGAGCTGCTGCAATTGCCCGCAGGCGACTAGTTGACCGTCGAATGTCGGCTGCACACAGCCTCGTGTTGCCTGTTGCACGTTGCACATTACCAATTGCCGGTATCGCACATGTGGCATTGTTATGCTATTATTTCGCCTTGCTGTGCTGTTGTTGTTTTTGTGYTTTAAGCTGCTTTGGCAATTTTCATGTTGTCGTGCATCTGCATTTCGGCATCGGCGAAGGCCCGTCTGTCTGGACTGCATCTGATGGCGTTTAGCAGCATATGTATGTATGTATGTATATAAATATGTATCTCTCGGTTTATTAGACCTGGTTGCAGTGGTCTGGGCGCATGTAGGTTGAATGAAAGCGAAAGTGCTGCACGACACAAGCAACATAAAGCGGTTTAACTGTAAAGTGGTGGCTAACACACTCAAAGGTCAATCTGATACTGCTTAGAAGAGAATGCAGAATTAATTCAAGGACATACATATATATGTACATATGTAAATAAGTGAATATTTCAATGCTATATTTGTATATGTCTATATGTTTTGATTCTTAGAGAAAATGTAAATGATTTAACGCACGAGGTGTCTATCTACATATCCAAAAATGGATGYCCGGGATTAGTCTRKAGGTTCATTGTCCTTTGGCTGAGCTTTRCCAACGTTGCTGCCACATTTTGATGCTTTTGATTTTTTCCTTTTTTTATGCCTAGTATGCTCTGATAGCTGGTCCAATCGTGCGTCCTCCTGGTTGTCAACTATGAGGGCAACCGCATAATTCTTAACACCCCTACGGACATCAAGTTCCATAGGAGAGGGCAGCTTTGCGGTGCTGCACTCGAGATAGTGTAGCTCTAAAAACCGTTTATTCGTGTCGAAAATGGTTAGAATTTCGGNTGCACTCGAGATAGTGTAGCTCTAAAAACCGTTTATTCGTGTCGAAAATGGTTAGAATTTCGGYTATGGTGTATTGAATGTTGACTTCGAATATTATAGACGTAAACTTTTGATTTAACAATCCCCCAGAGAAATAACATTGAGGGGCTAAGTCGCATGAAGTCGGAAGCCACTCTCGTAATTTACGAGTCACCAAGCTTAACTTTGCCAGTAATGTGTCTATGTTTACACGTGAAACCTGAGGCGGCGCACCGTCCGGAAATTCCGGAGAGTAAGGTCCTGAACCACACTAGAATTTGGCTCACCGCATTAGCGAAAATATTGTTTGTTGACAAAGCTTTTAAGCCAACTTGAGTCTCATCTTAGAACGTGTTTTACGCAAGCAGCTCTTAGAAGCGTCACTGGAGAAGGAGGGATGGATGCAAATATGTTAAAGAACTTCGCTTTGATGCGGATTGTGGGGGGAATGCCAGGACTCGGCGACAGACCCTCTCCCACCACGAATCCCACACCGAATTTGCACTCCTTTATATGGCCACTGCAGTTAATTCCACAAAGACCTTCTCGTATCAGTAATTGTCCCGTCTACGTCTTGCCCGGCGGTGATGTCRGTCTTTACTCTTACGAGGACATCAAACAGCAGGGCAGCGGCATTTTCCCAATCAAGGGAGCGGACATTTCAGGTGCATATTATTAAATCGTAATCCTTAGTACCTTTGCAGTGGTTCTTATCAAAAAGGGGGTATCACATCCGACGCTAGTGTGTCATTTTGATTGGGGATGTTTTTGTACATGGCGGGTCTCAAACACAGCACACAAACATTGGGGTTGGGATGATTCGCTTTCTTAATTTGTTTCGCCTTCAAACGGATGTTTCTGCTACCCAAAGGATACTTCGTCTGACACCAGAAGTTATGAGATTTTTGAGCCATTTGTAAAAGAATCGTTTATAGCCACTCCCAAGTGCATGGCGCTCAGAAAACTTTCCTCACTTCAATTAATTCGCCCATTGAACGTACTATAATTTTGACTTCAATTTATGGYTTCTGTAGTAGAAGTTATTGGAAATATCAGTAACAGAAATTGAATTAGAAACATTTTAGAGGAGTAATACATTATCCGGGAAGTTATTATTCGAGTCCGAGAGATCGATTGAAACAAAGTTTAAGTTTGTAGGAAAATATCTCTGCTTGCCTTGTAAATATAAGCGAAGTTCTCCTTTACATCTATGAAGGATATTCTATTTGCATAACCGGCGTTATGATGGGATTGTGATTATTTTGATGTCGTTTAATAAATCTTTAACCTCCAGAATTGTTGCTTAAACGTATCGCATTCTGTAAACTCTGGTTGATTGAAAAATGTGCATATGTAAGCGCCTGACCGCACTTAAACCGACAAGTCGAAACTTTGGGAGCCGTCGCCGATATTCCGTCTCAATCGGCTTCGCAAAGGTAATGTTTAATCGTCGTATGACCATCCACGCATGCTTTGGATTCTATCGATTCTACTTTAGTTCCTTTATATACGTACCTAAAAGTAGAGTCTCTTTGGTCTCTCCACTATCAACACTACCGCAATCTGATTTTGTGGTATGTCGTGTGCCAGTGTTCCGAGACCTGGGATAGAGCCTACTGCATCATGCAAGCATTAACGGAGTTGGATGATCTATACCAGTTTAAAAGAACTGCATTCCCGGCTGCCACGGAGCGAGCCCTCTCGTCTACCTTCGGATACCCTATTGGTTACGCATTTGTATACATATGTTTTTTTTATATCTAAATGATTGTCGTGGGTGTCGTGACTATTGACACAGATCGGACAACTATAGCATATACATAGTTCCCACACAACAAGATCGATAATCAACCAGTCGATATTCAATCTCGACTCCCTCTCAATGAAGGGCGYACTTGGTGTCAAACCAACACCCATTACAGACGAAGAGCTCGAGTTGCCGCGAGATGCGAGAGGGACCCTTCCGCAGCTTCGTTCTGGATACAGTAGCCGGCTAAACTCCTACTTATCCATAATCGACACCGTCGTAACAAATACATGTCCAGCGTGCAACGAGTTTCCGCATGACACTAACCACCTCTTTGAATGTCCAGCTAAACCTATACATCTGACAGCTCTCTCACGATTGTCCGAACCCGTCAAAACTGCACGTTTCCTGGGTCTGCCGTTGAATGACCTTGGTGACAACTTATCTGAGCCTTACTATCCTAACGGGGAGTAAATAACCATTACAACAACAACAAMAATCGAAGTTCTGAAGTTATCGTTTGTCATAGTCTTCCCTACTTCATCCAGACGTGTTGCATTGAAAATTACCACATTCAAAAAAGAATCTTCTAGGTAAATGGGAAAGACGAACCACCATTGATGAAAATAATTTGAAGTCGACTAATGGCTTGACGACTAATGGCTCTTAAAGTCTAGTTAAATCTGCGAAATAGGTTTTGGTGCTTCGGGAACTCTACCTTCTGTTTGGAATATTCTGTGATATAAATTTCTGTTGTATATTATTAACTAGAGTAATGAAATCCTCTTACACAAATACAAACTAGTCTCGRAAATGCTTCGGTATTTAATTTTCGTATGCAAATCAATTCTCAACTCTAAATTCATATATACATACATATGTACATGTACATATATACTATGAAACCATATTCCTACCAACCAGTGAAATTTCGGTGTAACTCCATGCAACTAAAAYACAAACAGCTTTAAGCCACTTAACAGCTATTAGTGTAACAACAACAACTGTGTAGTAAAATTTCGAGTTAGAAGTTCGACAATGTCGCAGCAACGCAAAGCGTATGGAAAATTTGATAATTTTGCAAACTTCATCCTTGCACTACAAAAGCAACAATCAACTGAGTAGAGTACAGCAACAAATGCAACAACCAACTGAGTAGAGTACAGCAACAAATGCAACAACCATTCAAATAAAGCAACAAATGCAACAACAAACTAATACCGTTCTAACTGTATGCTGCTGCGGCGTCAAATGTGCATTAGTTGCTGTTTTTGTTKTTGTTAGTAAAGTGTTTGAGTTGCAGTTGCCAAAAAGTTTTAAACTGTTTGCATAATGTGCAAAAACCACAGTAACGGTTTCCACTCTCTCTTGATTACATGCACTTCTCTATTTTGTGGCATGATGTTKTGTTTTTGGTTTTGATGGCATTTGGCTAGTGATACCATTAGAATTTAAACACTTTTGTTTTTGTTGCACTAATATGATCTGTTTTCGCACATTCGAGAGGTTAAGATWTGGAATAATTGCTTGACTGTAGGAGGAAGGTGGGGCATTTAATGGCATTAAATTTAACATTTAAAGTTGATGTTGAAACTAAAAATATGCAATTAAAATGTGGGTGGGGTGGGGGCATTTAATGGCAGTAAGTTGATGTTGAAACTAAAAATATGCAATTAAAATGTGAAATTATTTTTTGTTTATTGCATTCTTGAAATCAAACAGTATTTTGTTGTTGGAGGCATTGAAAAGAGAGTAAGAGTTGATTTTTTACAGCTGTGCTAGTATCAGCAAATGCATAGTCTGAACTGCCGGCTACYCAAGTGTATGCTTACAAATGCAATTTATAGTTAATATTCCGAGAAAATATATCATTAAAATAGCAAAGCGCACACTTGCTATCATTTTATGCCCAATAAAGCAATTAAAATAGCTGAATAATTACGAATTTAATTATTAGTTGTTGCTACAAGTACTTTATATTACTATGAAACATGCATTAATCACTAACTGTAACTTATTCTATGTATGTATGGCACATACATATGTACATATGTACATGCTGAGTACTATTTTACAGCGAATTCACTAATTGTTGCTGAGGCATTCTATTTTTATATGAAAGCAAACATTCCAGATTAATTAGCTGCTATCAATTCTAGTAATCTGCACAAATATTCCACATAACAATTCCGAAAAATATTCACAAACTCAACCAAAATATGATTCAACACTTCACTATTTATTCGTCAACTTTTCTTAAAAATAACGGTACACCATGCGCCGCACACTACTTGCATATATCTCATGCTATCTTCTTCGCATGCCACATGCTCAAATTCATCACAGTATTCCATTTTGCGCCCTAAACCGAGTTGCCCATGCGCATTCCACCCAGTTGCATAGAGCGCACCGCAATTCTTTTGCAACAGCGTATGGCGTGCACCTGCATATACACGCAGAGGTACGCATTCCTCGCCCGTATCTTCCAAGATGTCAYCACTTTCTACACTAGCTTTCTTACGRAGGCATTTACACTYGGGCARCTCGACAATTTGCGGCAAAGTAAACACTGTTGGTTGTTTAAGGTCACCAATCGATGTTGTTTTGAACATACGTAAGCCTAGYTGACCATTTGAGTTGAAACCCCAAACGTAGAGATCACCAAAGGCCGAWATAGCTGTGCTATGCCAGCCACCAGCAGCTATAAAATTAATCTGCAAGGAGCGTAAATTAGTACTTGTAAGGAATTCATATTCAACCATATCCATACCTTAATGCCAGCAAGCGCTTCTATCAATGTGGGTGTCTCTTCGACGCGTAACACATCGTGTCCCAATTGTCCTCGACTGCAGAAAATATAAACAATTTATTTGTTGTTTTGAATTATTTTAATAAATATTTCAACAAAGTTCACTCACAATCCATTGCCCCAACTGTAAACATCACCATTTGCGTTGAGTAAGAGCGCATGTTCAAATCCACATTGTAGTTGTTTCACCCGAAAATGTTTCGGAAATTGATGAATTTTACTCGGCACGCTATAGACTGCATTTGTCTCGCTTATCGCGACRKTGATGTTGGARCCACACGCAATATGTGTAATATGAATGCGCGCTGCTTGCCCCARCGTGGGCTTCAGGTCGCCGAAAATAGTTCGTTTCTGTGGCAATGCTAGCACTTCGGCCTCGAGCTTAACTTCTTGCAGCTGGGCATCGTTCTCAGCGCGTACTTTGTACAATTTGCCATTTTCGCACAACACAAGACAGAATCTATCACATGCGGCCAATTGCACTATGCTCTCTGAATTCTCTAAACTTAATGTTGAATTTGGTGTACCAGACAAAAAGCCACGTAGCATAAGCTGATTTTTTGTAGCATAGGCAGTGTAGCTCCAACTGATTGCGACATGCAAAATACTTTGTTCGCCGGTCATTGACTTTTCCAATGAGATACCTATAAAACATATAAAATTTTCATATTTTTATACCCTCAAAAAATGCGTAATTCCGCACCTGTAAACGCGTTTCCGCTTCGCTGACCGTCAACGGCGAACTGACCGAAGCCATTGAAGCCACTAAAAGCGAGCATTGGTATTACGTTGTAACATAAATAAAATTTTCTCTCCAAAGTAGTTGATGMCGCTTACACATGTTCACTTGTATGCTAAATAATACCAAAAACAATCGCTAAATAAATATCATCGTGAAGATTCGTAACACAGTCATAATAAATAGARCACTATTGTATCTTTGCCCGCTACCGTTGCCTCGTCACCTCCCGGCTGTTACTAATTCACAAGCTTTGCCGCTGTCGTTGCTATTAGCATTACATGAACAAACCTATCTGCCCTCTATATATTCGGCTGTCACAGATAATGAATTGTATGGTGGATCTGCTGTTAGCCCTCTCAGTTAGTCAGTTAGTATACTTTCATTTGCCGTTAGTGGTGGTTATGTTTCTGTTTATATAATCCAGGCTCGTGCATCAATAAATTTACTTCAAGCTTAAACGCCAGTTAAACTACAAGGAAATAATAGTGTCACTGCATCTTCTCAAGAAATGGCAAGTAATAAAATATATATGTATAGATTTSTGTGAATATTGCAAGCATACCGTGMATTAAARTGTTTTCCTTGTAAAATTCAATACTGAAAATTGTGAAATCGTTAACGAATTTTTAATAGTTGTTTGTTTATTTCGGTACCGTTGTCATGGAAACAAAACAATTTCTTTGAAAGGAAAATTCAGCGCCACACTTTGGAAATTTTCTATTTACATTTTGATCAGCTGTTTGTAGCTGTCAAAGTAAATGCAGTCCACATGATTTGAAGTGTAAGTGGACTGCGAGTGTGGTAGATGTGATATGGTGTGGTGAAATGTGTGGACATAGCGGAAATTAGATTTAAATCCGTTGAAAGCATGGTGTGTTATTGATTTACAAGAATGTGAGAAATGAAAGAATATAATTTATAGTTGTACAAATTAGATCTTCAAATGTGAATAAATTGTGTTAAGCTGTTGATTATACTTTTGATTTTATTTGATACTTGTTATTTTATGTTATCAAATAATAACGAATGAAAGTAACGATAAGAAAAAGACAAACGACCACAATTTCGATTGCTTAACGAGTTATAACCATTTTCTAGTTGGAAGAAACCCGTTATTTTTTTGTAAATTTTGTTGAAGTGGCTTGTTTCTGCACTAAATAAGTAAATAAAAAATAAAAATATTGTAGATTTACAAAATTCCATGTGCCTCAATAATCGCTGATTCAGCCCACGATGAACATGGTGAATGATCAAAGGATTAGTCAAAAATTTGCATATAAGTGGTGATTTCGCAAGAAAAAAATCGATTTTTTGAGAAAATTAATAGTATGTAAAGACTTAAAAATCGAAATTATTGTCTAAAACGGATTTCTTCGATTAAGCAACAGATATATGTATGTATCTAAAAAGGTCGCGTGAAAATTTCAAATCGTTCGCTTCAGCGTTTCCAGAGAAGTTTTCTTCAATGTCTCTGACAACAGCTTTTCGAGAAAAAGGCGTTGAAAACTTTGGTAAACTTTGGTAGAAAAAAGCTGAAATCTCCAAAATGTCGGATTARCTTCAAATTTGTGGATTTCACATACAGATCTACTTATATGATTTATGAGCGATTTTTTTTTTTTTAATTCACAAGTGGACATAACCGCTTTGGTTCGAAGTCTGCTACCGCTATAAAAATTATAAAGGAAAAATATTTTATAACTATCATTTTTTTATTTTATAAACATTAAGCCCCTCAACTGCTCACGTTACTAATCTAACTCGCATTCGATTGTTCCATATAAATCAACGACGCTGCAGGGTTTACTATCATTATTGCGCAAACTGCGTCCCAGCCCCGACAAAGAAGCTAGAATACTGTTACTTGGCCTAGATAATGCTGGCAAGACGACAATTTTAAAGCAATTGGCATCTGAAGATATTGCAACGGTAAATTTTCCACCAACCAACCATTCGACATGCACTTTTTTCACCGAAACTAGCACAACAACCATAAATACGATTTTATTGCATTAATGATTGTTATTCGATTCGCATGTAAAAGCGTATGTATGTACATATATAATTGCCACAGGTCACACCAACCGCCGGTTTCAACATAAAATCCGTAGCGGCCGATGGTTTCAAGCTCAATGTCTGGGACATTGGTGGCCAATGGAAAATACGGCCTTACTGGAAAAACTACTTTGCGAACACGGACGTATTGGTAAATATACAAAAAATAACATGTGCACAAGTGCAATACAACTAGGAAATCGTAAAAATATATACTAAATACATCGTCACTACTTCTTTTTCGTCTCATTCTCTACACAGATTTATGTAATTGATTGTACAGATCGCGAACGTTTATCCGAAACTAACCGTGAGCTTTTCGAATTGCTTATGGACAATCGCTTAAAGCAGGTGCCATTGTTGGTGTTCGCCAACAAACAGGATTTACCGAATGCCATGACCGTCTCTGAGTTAGCCGAAGCGGCGCAGTTGGTGCGTTTAGAGGAGCGCACCTGGCAGATAGTCGGCTGCTCAGCCGTCGATGGCACGGGCATCAAAGTAAGTGGCAATGCAAAAAGTGTAAAAGCAACATATCGGTATACAAAGTTTTTTTTYYTWTTTTTTTTTTTTTTTTKGATTATTTTTGTTTTTGGTTTTCTTCTTTGCTGTGCAGGAGGGCATGGATTGGGTGTGCAAGAACATGAAGAAATGAAAAAGTTTATGCAGTTCGCAATTGTAATTGCTATCGAATCGCTTTAAAGCTACAACCACAACAACAACAGCATGTTAAAGCAAACAACGGCAATCGCATTACAGTTGTTGTAGTTCCTCTACGCATGTAATTAGAAAGTATTATTACTAATTAGTTGATAATTTTATTATTAGTTAGGTTCCCTCTATTTGATTTATAAACACTCAACTCTTAACCGTTTATGTGAGTCATAAGCAAATAAATATATAATACAACAAATGTTAAACTCAAGTACCACAATCAGTTATTTAAACATTTCCTAATCAAGTTAATAAAACGTAATGCAATTACTAGGAAATGGCTACCATTTTTTCAAYTAACCCTCAAAGAGTGTCTAGTTTTCGGATGTGTGCAACTACTTTAASTTTATTTGATTGTAATTAATTTTATTTCATAATAATTTTTTTAGTGCTATATTGTAAGTATGTTAGCATAATTTTTATAGTCTCGGAACATGTTGCTAAGGAATATAATAGTCGTTTTCAGCTAGCGGTTGTTAGGTTAGGCAGCCATCGAGCTGATCCAGAGATCGCACTTGAAATACTATATACAGTCCTTTTTGAGGCTATATATTTTCTAGCACGGTGGGTTATCTGAAAAGGTGATACAGTGTGCGTAACAATCAAGAAGGAAGTGTTGAAATGTTTTCACCTCGTTTTCTTCCATACGTGAGTATCTATAGGGTATTGGTGTGTTAGAACCCYCTAGGGAGAGGTTTGCCTTACCGATAGCAAAGAACTATTTGGATCACCTATGATCGAACTTGGGCCGAAAGGTTCTCGGCAACGCATGAATCGATAGTAACCAAGCTCCCATGAATCCTAGCTGTCTAGTAGTAGAACACACGAGCAGAGGGGAACAAAACGGTTGTTTGTAACATATAAAATGTATTGTGTTATGATAAATGCCAATTTTAAATTCCATCAGAATAGAAATTCCAAAGGACAGCTCAGAACGCCGTTCAGTTGTGGTGTTTATGAGTTTATCTCAAATTTGTTGAGACGGTTAATGTCAGTTTYRGCTATGTCTTCGAGTTCGCCGAAGATAAGTCTTGCAAGGGCGGACAATGAGCAAGGAAATTTCTGGGTGTTTCCACCTCACCCCCTTTCACACAACTCTAACCACTAGTGTTCTAGCTTTACCGCCTAAATGCCTATTGGCCGGTATATGCCGGTACGATTGCGGCAAGATGAATTGGGATAAGAGCAAGTAGCTCAATAGGTCTCGTGCGTTCGTCTCTAGGCCATGGTCACACAGGAGCTAGTCGTTGACAAGCGCCTTCTAGGCGTACGTGAGGTCCATTGCTGGATCGCAAGATCCTAATTAAGATCCAACACCTCCCACGCACATCTCCCTGAAAGGAGCTGCAATTTGTAGCAGTACATCCGCCGTCAGCTTAATAGAAGCCACTTCTGCCTGAAAAACGCTACAGCGGTCCGGTAGTCCAAGAATAAAAAAGAAAGGCAGCTTTTTACAAAAAACATTCGCTGCAACCTTCACTCTTAACTTCGACCCGTTCTTTAATTCGAACTTTGACCAGTCCGTGAATAAGCTCACTGCGCTTGTTCTCCTCATCCACATATTCCTCGACACGACCTCGATTTAAGCGGAGAAAAAGGTCCTCTACTGCAATATATCATAAGGCATCCGCTATCTGCATTAATCCCTCCTCAATATATGGCCTCCACAAAAGCTTTCTATAAAGAGCCCTGGGTATTTTTTCAATAGGGACGCTACAGAAGCAGAYCTGTCCCTATCGGTCTACAAACGACGTCATATCATTTACTATCGAAATTGGGAGTCAGTGGCCTCAACTTTAAGAGCGCTACGTCAAATTTATGGTCGTCATAGTTGACCTCTCAGATCAACAGTTGAASATATAGTGCAGAAATTTTAATCCACAGACAAAGTACAAAATGTTCCGGTGTCAGTGAGGCAAAGAAGGGACCATAGTGTCCAGAATATTGCTGCCGCTTGTGCATCAATTGAGGAAGACACAAATCTGTGTCTTACACRTCGTTCTCAAGCGTTGGGCATCACTGTGACGTCGTTGTGGCGAATTTTTCGRCAATATCTTGGCCTACATCCTTACAAGATCAAATTTACGCAAGAACTGAAGCTGCTTGACCACTAGAATCAGAATCGTCGTATGTTCGTGAATTGGACCAAGCAACAACTTGAAAATGATCCAGATTTTCGTTTAAAAATCATCTTCAGCGATGAGTCTCATTTGTGGATGAAAAAATTAAAAATGCGTTATTGATATACCGTTATTGATACAATGATAACCGAATATACGGCGACACAGCCACACCTCAAATATCACAATCGATTTATTGAAAACCAAGTTTGGTGAACTGTTATCTATTTCGTGAGATAGTCAATTGACCGTCTCGCTCGTGCGATTTGACGCCGTTAAACTATTTGCTGAAGGTCTACGTCAAGTTTATAGTCTATGGCAGCAAGCAATCGACGATAGATGAACTTCGTATGAATATCAAACGTGAAATTGCAGCAGTATCGGCCGATTTAAGCTTGAAACCCGTCGAAAATCGTGTTCAGCGTCTAGACTTCTGCAAAAGGGCCCGTGGGGGCCATGCAGAACAAAACGAGTTCCATACATAATGGCATCAAAAGCATTTGCACTTTCATGGCTTTTATAGCGCTCTTAATAAAGCACTCATTATTTCATCTTATCAACAGGTTGTTTTTTTTTTTTTTTTTAATGTTAATATTCCTTTTTATGTCTAATGGCTTTTGTTTAATTACTTTGGAGAGTTATTTTTCTTCAAACGGGTTCTGCTAGCAACATTTTTGCTTTCAACCGAAATGAAATATCCAATTTTACCCTTTTTTCGATTAGTTCATTATCGTCATTTCCGGTCACGTTCGTCCGAACTCTTACAAGTTCATGTGCATTTCTTCTTCTTCTTCGCAACAAATACATTTCTTATAACGTACGAGCACTCTACTTTTATCAGACCACCTAATTACCCGTTATCTGAAATCTTTTTAACAAAGATAATTAGAATGCCAAGGCTGATTTAAGTACTAATAAACATAGCAGTGAGTAATAAATATCAACGCACTTAATAAAACATAAAGTTCTTTTTACTTATTTGTGGGCCGTACACACTGTTCTTTATTACGCTCACTCGACTAGAGGGCCTACGTAATCGGAGCGAACAAGGATTTATAACCTAACATTAGACGCACATGCTGCAACAACATCAAGAACTGTACTTTATTAATTACTTACGCATGTCGTAATCAATCCACGAACACAGAGGGGGTTTCAAAACCCCACGAAGTAGAAAAAAATACATTTTTCATATGTTTCTCATATTTATTAATTAACTTAATAACGGCTAAATTTTATTTATTAAGTACATACAACTAACAACTAACTAAATTTAATTTAAAAAAATAAGCAGCCGTGATCTTCTCGCTTAACGATCACCGCTTTGTAGATCAACATCACATCCACAGCTTGTTGTTTTTGTTTTTCGTTCGTGTTGTTGTCGTGCTCAAACGATCAATACAAATTCTGCCCACAAGCACACCGCGCGCTCACAACTCATTGTGCACATACTCCGTGGTCACTTTAGCCTCGCCCTCATGGAAGCCACTACAATCGACTGGATATTTGACCTACAAAGAGTGTGCAGAGAAGAATAAAATGTTGCAGTTAGCATACTAATTGAATTCATTATCAAATTGCTTCGATCAATTTGTTAAAATTAAATCCAAACTGTGTTACATACACACATTTCTCCACCGACTCCATATATCTATGTTACTTGTGCAGAGTTCTGACATGGCAGACAAAGTGCTAATGAATAAGACTTACCTCACAGTTGTAGGGCGCATTTATGACGCCAAACAATGTCCAGAACGGTGTGCCAGTTTCGGTGCTAATGAATATGGCCGCTCCCATGCTGCCGATCTTCACGATTTTCGGACTCACACCAGAAATAAGGCCACGCGCATTGCCAGCCGCACTTTCTTCGTGCGAATTCAATTCACAGAGCACATAGCGATCACATTGTGGAGATTTCGAGATAAATCTGTAGGCACGATGTACTTTGAGCACCGGCTCGATGACCTGTAAAGGATGCAGAGAGGTTTATATTTTGGATTTTTTTATTCAAAAGTTCCTTTTTAACCAATTTCTATTATAACGGTTGATCCAAGTAAAGGTACTTTTTTCAAAAGTTTTTTTATTTTGATAGATCACGTGTGAGTTTGGCATTTAATCGTGGAAAGTCTTACGCCAGAATAACGTTTCCTAATTGTTCAACTTTCTTACGAAAATTTACGTTGTATAAAGAATGCGTATCGCACGCTTCGCTCAACATATGGTCAACATAATCGGCCTACTGAGCCTAGCATCACCCATCTTGAGACCCAGCATTCACTATTGGAAAATATTCGACCGAGTAGACTACATCCAGCTCGCATTGAAGAATATATAGCAGCCGTAGCTGAGAGGGTATAGGAAAACTGTGAAGAGTCGATTCAATAGCGGTCGCAGCAACTCGGACTAACGTTTGGAACGACTTGGCGCATTTAAGTCGATATCTTAAATTGAATGTATACAAAATAAGCTTGTGAAAGAACTGAAGCCGCTCCATCTTCCCAAACGACATCGCTTCGCTCTATGGGTTCTTGAAAAGTTCCAACAAGGTCCGACGTTTTTGAGCCAAACTTTGTTCAGCGATGAAACCCATTTCGGGCTAAATGTCTCAAACCGTCCACTTGATGCCTGAAAATGAAGCTTGGCAACATTTTGTTTCAACAAGACGGCGCCAGTTCCTACATATCGCATCAATTAATGGATTTATGGAGAGAACACTTCGGTTTGCAGATGATTTCGCCGAAAACGGCCGATTGGTCGTTATGATATCACACCGTTTCACTTTTTCCTGTAGAGATACATACATATGTAATGTCTAAAGCCTGTCCGCATAGACTCCCCTTCGATTCAGGTCTTGGAGCTAAACATCATGTGCTTCATTCACCAGTTACCAGTTGAATTGCTCGAAGGACCATCTGAGACGAGTCCGCGGCCAACGTTTGAGGGAGATAATCTTAAAAAAATTAGTGCCAAAGAATGTTCTTTCCGCATAAAATTTGGGGTTTCTTCTTTAAAAAGTAGCGATCACCCTTTTTTAACGTAAATCGATTAAATTCGTCAGACTTATCCTATTTGTTTACAGCTTCAGTGTCTCCTATGT